GCCGACCCTTTTATATCGGCTAGCTCAGCTGGCTAAGCCAGCTTAGCCGCGGCTGCCTTAGCCGGCTTACAACACTAATTCTGATTCACAACCTGGTCGGAAAATGTCGTAAGGTAATTTTCAAGGCAAAGACCCCAATTGATCTCGTGAATCGATTTCGATTTCGATTTGATCCGAATCTCAAAAGTATTCGTCCGATTCGGTCCGTATGGAACACTAATGCTTGGCCGGCATTAATTGATCGACACAAATTGGCCTAAATTTACTCTAATCCCAACCCTAATTTAGGCCAGTTGATATATACCAGTTTTTCATAAAAATTCTTCAAAGCCATGCCTTCAATATTACCTAACGAGTGTCTTCAAGAGATTTTTGCAACTATTAACGATGCCGATTTTTCAACACTTTATTCGGTTATATTAGTTAACCGTACCTGGTGTGAAAATGCAATTGCTTTTTTATGGAGGGCACCTTTTAGATCTGATCCAAAAACCACGAATATTGACAAAATTGTCCCAATATTCTTATCTTTTTTGAGATATGATATCAAGATTGACCTTCGCATTGATTCTTTCAAATTACCAACAAAATTGACATTTTATTATCCTTCATTTTTGCGGCATCTTGACTTAAATAACTTAATAATTGCCGTTACCCACTGGCTTCATGCGAATCCTCCACTTAATGAAATGGCACTTTTTTATCACAAAAGAACAAAAAAAGAGATTATTATAGAAGATGATCAAAGGAATGACTTTGTTATTGCAATTCTAAATGTCATTATTACCAGCTCCGAAAGAATTTATGATCTACAGATCAACATGAAAGACAAAATCGATCTTAACATGCAAAATTTTTTCAAAAATGATTTAAAAAAATTTTTCGCAACTCCAGAGGCACAAAAATGTCTTTCCAAACTTGAACGATTCGATTGTAGTGGACAGATTCCTATATCCGATATCCTTTTAGAACTATCTAATTATGCACACAACATTGTGACTTTATCATTTCATCAAAGCAATTTAGAAGATGAAAACAATGATGTGAAGCATAAAGAATTATCGGCTTTAATAAAAATTCAACAAAATCTTCAATATATACATTTTGAATGGCTTAAGAATGAAGGAGACATTTCGTCGGTTATTTTAGCCCTTTCATCAAATATTAATTCTCTCAGAAGTTTTGAGATGGTTAACGGAGTAGTAAATACTAATGCATTGGAATTATTATCGAAATGTTCTAATATCGAGGCTTTACATTTCAAAGGACAATCATTTATGAGTCGACATATGGATATATTCTGTGATGCAGTACTTCCAAGGCTGAATTCACTACAATTTATTAATATAGAACGTAGAAGGGATCGCACTGAAGATACGAATCCTTTCGTTAGAATGATTCAAAATACTGGAATTAATTCAAATTTACGTTCACTTTGCATTTGTGACAAAGCAAACCACCACTCATCTCTTCTTGATGCAGTATCTCAAATTTCACAAAATCTTACTTCTTTCACAACACATCTTACTAAAAGTACGGAAAAATCATTCATCCTATCCATTTTACGAAATGCTAGGAGATTAGAAATTTTGAATATATTACAATTCAATTTAATTTATATTGAAGATGACGGATTTCTTAGTGAAATGGCAAAAGTTGTTCCTGAGACATTACGTCACCTAGACATATCTCAATTAGAATTTTCGATTGAGTCATTAGGTGAATTTTTGACAAATTGTGGAGTCAAAATTGCTCTACTTATTTATAATTCGGTTTATTATAAGAACTCACAAGAAGATTATATCCGAAAGTTAGCTGATGAGAATCAATGGATTATAAAAAAGTTTAGGACAAAAGATGAAACGACTCATACCAAAATTTTTATTGAATGGGGATAAATATCAGAAAGTATTCAATTTTGGAATTTATGGTAATTATTTTATATGATTTTTTTTAGAGTTATGAAAATAGGTCTTTCGAAAAAACATTTCAGTTGATTCTGGTTTTTTTCAATTACTGTATTTTTAGTCGAATGCGACGGTTGATAAGAAAACGATAAATAACGACGTTGAAGAACGCTATAAGGATTGTTGAATAAGATTATGAGATCATGGAACCAATCCAATAAACTTGATGAACGGACCCCTTTATATGCTCATAGTAGAACATTAATTTTGTAACGTATATTAGAAAATAATGTATATATTAATTTTTTTTAGTTTTTCGATGTTTCATGTGCTGTGAATAGTAGATTTATTTTAAACATCGTACTTTGAACACAAAATAGGCATTGGTCGTTCAACAAGCTAAGAATATTAAGTCACCGATAAGATGAACCGAGATTATGTATCAAGTTTATCAAAATTTACACCTTTTTAAATAAATAGTGAAAAAACAGAAATTTAAAATAAATTCTAATTGAAGTGAGCTTTTTTCTTGAGTATATGATTTATTAATAGTCGATGAGTTAATAAATGAACTATCAGACTTCGGGACATTTTCATAATGGCACAAATCTCATTGACTTTCATAATCTACAAGAAAAAAATTGCATTAATACTGAGGAGATATCATGAACTACGGTAGGTACTTTGACAGAAAATTTAATTTATTAACACAATCTATTATAAACTATAAATAAAACTATACGTTACTCTTATTGTTGATATTATGAATCTTTATAAAAATTTAAATTACTTGGTTCTTTTATAAATCTTTTTCATATATTCCAAAAATATATCCTTTTTTATAATATTTTCATCCAGCTGAGAAATCAATCCAGTCAAATACACATAAGAATTTTCTTCATATTCTCTATACACTCCTTCAATATTCAAATCTTTGTAAATTTGTTTGATAATTGAAACATCTTCAGGATTATTTTTGCCATAGTGTTTCTGTTAGATATATAACAATTGTTAACTTAATGGATCGAAATTTGAAAAGCATCACTGGAAAGATATGTTTACTTACGTCCAAAAGTTTACGCTGTTCAGGTGATGCCACTATCAAAGCTTGATTAATACACCAAGAGCATTTATTGTCTTCAATATCTGTTCCAATTTTTCCGATTACATCTGGATCACCAAAACAATCAAGATAATCATCCTAAAAAACGATATATCTTTAGTAATAATCGCATGGTAACAATAAATTTTGTATGGATAAATATATATATATATATATAATTTATTTACTTGAATTTGGAAATATTCTCCCAATGGTAGCAAAATCTCCCTTGCCTTTTGAAATGCTAATTCTTCTTTTATACCTGCCTATAATATATTTGTATATAAGAGAATACACAAAATAAATCGCAATAGATCAAAATTCTTACCATATGCATGGCCAATGCAACTGGAAGATAAAATGAATAGATTGCAGTTTTATACAACACAATACATTTGTACCTATTGTGAATAACTAATATAAGTAACTAATATAAGTAACTACATAATACTCGTAAGTATTGACATAAATATTACTTTTCCATGGAAAATCTATTCAAATCAACATTATTCTCGGGAGCGGTTATCAAATCAAGTAGCTGGCCATATTCAGTGTCTAGTGTGGACTTTGAAAAATAATACCATGAATAGTGTGATAAACATTATCGAGTAAACAAGTATCTTACCTCGTGGAATAATTCTAGCAAATCAACATAGTATGCATCTTTACGGAAATATTTTTTCAAAAAGAAATAAATTGCAGATTCCAAAATGAGCGCGTCATTAATTGCGATATTACCAACACCTTCCTATAAAATAGAAATAGTTAAGATAAATCGGATTAATATAATACTTAACTATTTCTTACCATTTTATACCAACAAGGATTTCCACGACGTGTAATTGAAGCATCCATTATATCATCAGAGACGAGAAAAAATGCTTGTAGCTAAAATAGAAAAGATTCCAATCAATTTTTTACCCAATATTACAGAAATTACTTAATACCACAGTGCATTACCCATTCCACACACCATCCGAGAACTCTCGCCTTGAAAAGTTCTTCGTCGGAAACATTACCATCCTTCAAAATCATCAACGAATCGACTACGGACATACCACGATTCATTTTTCCTACATGATAATCCCGATTAATAAATGATATAAATTTAAGGCATTACGAACAATTAGATATCGAATTGTCGTCTTACCACCGAAAACATTATGACAAATATTCTATATAAGATAGTATAGTGAATACTACTGAACAAAAAAGATATTCTTTGCATAAATCTAATTGTATGTAACCTTCTTAATCCATTCAATTGCATTCTGTGGAAGTTTTCGAGAAGTCGCAGTTGTTAAGAATTCTTCAGTGAGTATGGCAAAAACATTTTCGAATTCCTTTTTAGCAGATGTCATTTCGATTACCCCTAAGCCATCTCGTAAATTTTCATATGATATATAAGTTGTTCGGCATAGTCGCACAAGCGTTGATAATCAACTAACAATCTGGAAATTTTTTATGAAAATCCCAATTTATTATCGTAATCGTTATACAGTGTGGTATTCGCGATCTTACTATTTAAGATATAGTTTCTTGTGCTTTTACAAATTAAAGTTATCGCCAGTGTTATAAATTCAAAATTTTTTTTATTGGCGTAAACACAAAAAAAAATATGCAAAAAAAAGAAATTTATACGCGCTTTAAATATATACGGTGAGCGCTGATATATGCGCAAATTTAAATCTATGTACGCTGCGCCGGGCTGAAAAATAATAAATAATAAATAATAATTTTGAAACGCAAAAAGGAAGTAATTATGCAAGAAAAACAATCATTTTGGAATAATTAAGGCTTGGATTTAAAATCCTGTACAAACAGAATCTTGGTAACAAATCCCTTGGCATGAATTATTATTCTAACAGGTTTAGCATTAGCCGTATCAATTTGGTAAAAATTTTACTAACGAAAAAACATTATATATAAAGTACCAGCTTTACAAAAGTTCGGCCAGCATTAATGATCTGAATTGTAACTCCACTATACATGGGGGCCCCACAGCAAAAGGTGGTGATGGGCCAAAAAAAAAAGCATATTTAGAACACAATATCAAAAACTACAGGAAAAATTTTTGGTCCGTCACCACCTTTTGCTGTGCCCCCCACATGTAAGTTATGTGTTCAAAATTACAAATTACGTACATACGTACGTATGTGAAAAATTGAGAAATGTCGTGCATCAGTCTAAGAGTAATATATATAGTTTAGTATGAAACATAAAAAGAGTAGCGTAGAACAACTTATACGTATATTTAAAAATCATATCTATCGTACTTATAAGTAGGAAAGATCATACTTATAAGTATAGTAAGCATGAAGACGGTCATACTTGTAAGTATACCTGTGCGACGAAAGTACGTACGTACTAGGCTTGAGATGATCGTAGATTAGTGTTACAATCGACAAAATTTTTCAATCGATTAGTTGGTTAATTATTTTTCCAGTTGGTTGCAACTAATCGATTAATCGATTAGTTGCAACTAATTCATTAAGTAAATAATTTTCAATCGATTCATTTGCAACAATCGATTAATTCTTTAGTGTCTAAAAAGTAGTAGATGATCGGAACCAAAATCGGATGCATAATGGTGATAAATCAGTGATTAATTAAAGATGAAAAAAGTAGGGATGGATCAGTCCTGAAAAGACCGAATAAGGACCAGCCTTTTTAACCAGTCTTATGGTTAACTGGTCCTCGGTCCTGAGACCAGTCTGGACCGGTCCTCATGAATAATTCAAAT